CTGTGAGCAGTCTTTACAGTAGTAAGTGGTCTGAAATGGTTTCTTTCGCTCGCCGCGGAGAAGAGCGCAAACTTTACAGGAACGTTGACGGCATTTCTGGACGGCTGATACGATTACCCAGTCGTCAAACTGCACATGCACGTGACCAATTAGTCGGCGGCGCTTTCTGGCGCGGGCCACAGGAGAAGGAGTAGGGGTAGAGGCGTCGACAAAGTCGTCTGCAGTGAGCTGCAGTAGTTGTTTGTGCAGGAGGATATACCAGTCTCCACGGTCTTTAGGTACGAGTCGCTTGAGCCGATACGTCTCCTTCTGTGTGAGGTATGCATTCACCAGTGCCATGTCTATCAAGCCCATGAGCAGTGATTTGTAGTAATTCTGGAATCGGAACGCTGTCTGAATCGAATACGACTGGATGCGGAATTGATCATGGACATCAACGCCGCTCATCCGGCGTTGATTTTTCGGTAACGAGCTTCGGGCACTTAAATGTTGACGGTCCTACCATTTTGATGTTTTAATGGATTGAGTCTTCTACCATGGTAGGACCTAGTGTACTGATTTCCTGTCCCACCAATGGCAGGCAATCATGGTCAGAATAGCATCTAACCGCGAGAACGCGAAGGATCCCCGTTCTATCGCAAGCGGTCTTGTTTTGAGTTTCGAAGTGACTTGCTTATCAAGCGCCTAGCCGGTTAATCATGATCGTCCCTAGCCCGTAGACCGACATCGATAGAAGCTGTATGGCCAGCGGTGTCGAGGAATAGAAACGGTCGATTACAACCAGTCGAAATCCCAGAGATGCCCCACTCAGAACAGCCTTCATGTTTCGTATCACTGCTGCTGCCCCCGTCTTGTTTTTGACCTTTTGTTGGTCCCTATCTTCTGTATCTCGCTTCCCGACGTACATCTCAAAGCTGTAGTCGCAAGTCACGACATGGAACAAATCGAATAAGAAATTAATGTCAAACGTTACGACTTATTATTTTCCATTAAAAAAACTCACCGATGACAGTACGCACCCTTGGAATCGCACACCATGAACAATTTGGTTCCGTAGCGGTGGGGATTGTCGGGCATGAACATCCGTGTTGTGTTATGCTACAATGTCGACGGTAGAGCGCCTTCATCAACGGAGAACGTGCTACCAAGTGTCCAGCCCGAGCGATAACGAGACTGCAACACGTCCACAACCGGCCTCAACTTCCACATCTTATCGCGAACGCGCGGGGCCTCATTGTTCACGATGTGAAAGTCGCGAAGGATCGAAGTGCACCGGTTGTGATCCATGAACTTGCCAACGTTACCGGCTGATAGTGCGCCATTATCGGTTATCGCCCAATGTCGTGAGAAACGCCGCGTCATCGGGTTCAGCATTAGTGCCACTAAAAGTTCCATCGCATGTAAGATCGCATGCGTTTGGTACGCAAGGTCGGCACGAAGATGCCTTTCAATCTGCTTGATAGTCTCTATCGTCGCAGCATAACGCTTCCGTTGTTTTGTTCGAATTCGCTTTGCGCTGGCGTGTGCAGTTTGTCGCTTGTAGCGGTTGGTCTCCTTCGTAATGCTAATCCACAGCGACTTTGGCAGATAATAGAAAAATAGGAGCATCGGCGAGTCCGCATAGCTTGGATCTCTGGCCTAGGGGTAACAACATCAGTAGACAGATCTGCATATGCTGCACAATCACGTTCAAACTCGGACGAGGGTGCACTCCACGATAGTTTCCGAAGCGCGCTCTTGTCGATATCTTTAAGGGCAAGCTTTCCACGCACCAGCTCCACAATGCCATCGTCCATTAGGGCGACATCTTCGTCAGGTTCCAGTGAGTCGTCGGGATATTTGCGCCGCTCAATGATCTCATATACACTATTAGCGCTGTTGTCACTACCGATCGAATCGATATCCTCATAGGCGTCCGACACTTCTCCATCCGCCATGATGTTCACGTCGTCCTCCGCTACGTCAACGCAGTCATCCGGAGCGTCCTCCACACTCTCATAATCATCCACACTGGCACCGTCGCTCGCGTTACCATTATCCGAGTTGTTAGACTCGGCGCCCGACAAGAGGCGCTGAAAGGCACCGCTGACCAGCTCGGGATCTGCCTGGTCCAGACAATTCAACTGGAAACCGCTTTCCGATCCGATCATCGTTTGTATTGTGTTGGCTGATGGCGCAATGGCTGTGTCGATCTGCGACGCCGTCGCCGACTCGCTCGCTGGCAAGCTCTCATCGACACTTGCCTCTCCCCCACTCACGCTACTCTCTTCTCCAATAAGCCCCGACTCGATCGCAAACGTCACCACTGCATTCTCGCCTACAAACAACAATTTATTTCGATACCTGTGTTGTGCTTCGTTCATGCGTTACGTACCGACAAGCGAGATCCCGGTCGGTGACGTATACGTCCACTCCTTCACGAGTCCGGAGCCTGATGGCCTCTTCGCCACTCCACGGAGCTGTCGCCACAGATGCTTGAAGTCGACCGCTCGAACCATAAGCGTGTCTTGAACTACCGACTGCCTGATTCTCGTACTGGATCGTACTCTTGCCATTGTGGCAAATTTTGGAATGAGACACCGCTGCTTCAAGTCGCCAGCCTCGACCACTCATCCAAGTGTCCGGACTGACCAGATTACTGCAGCACATCTACCCCCTCCCCCACCCTTTCTTTGGCATTTCCTTTTTGACCTCTTCTAGCTTATATTTTTTGGCAGCAAAAAAAACTTGATTTAAGTATCGTATCCACTTTGTTCGAGCCATTTTCTATCTTGGGATCCCAGTAACGTCGTAACTTACGACTTGTGCCCTCCTTGAAGTCGTAAGTTGCGATGTTGGTAACGGAGGAATTCAATAACTCATATGATTACGCAGAAGAGATCTCAGAAGCGGAAAATGAGTTCTTCTTTGAGCAGTACATCGAAACGGGCAAAGTAAAGCAGTTCAACGTAAAGAAAAATCCTTAGACCGCATGGATGTTATTGGAGCGTTTAGCGAATACGTTGCCAGCAAGAACCCGGGTATTAAAGGACCGAAAATGATTAACAGCAATGCGTACTTTGGTTGATATCGCTATTGCTTTTACATTCAAAAAGGCAACAAACTGCTAGAACAACTATATTGTAAGAACGAACAGATGATGGTCAGCATCTGTGCGTCTGTCAATCCGGCAGCGTTAACCCCACCCTGCCGGGCGTTGCTCTTGTGCTAAAGCAAGTGCTGTTACCGCTGAGATGAAACCTCAGCGGTTGCTGCACTTTGTAGCATTAGTGACAACGGCCCCCCCTGGTTCATATGTATTTATGGTTTATCTATCCCAATAGATACTAGCATTGTTTTTATATTAACTTGAGATTTGTCGCTTCTTAAGCAATCTTGGAGTCCATGAAATTACACATGGAATTGAACAGCTTTTCGGTATGGTCGTTTCTGTTTTTGCTCCATGATTGCTTTGTATGTTATATCAAATATATTATTCCTCAAAGATGTCAATCTCAAGCGTCTTGTCGCTGCCAATAGATGTGAAAGCACCATGGAATATCCGCCCCCGACGGTCTTTAGGTCTGCTTAGCGGAGCTGTAGCGGGCTTTGCAGGAGGATTGGGTGCGTGATCGTATGAATGGTCTGGCTTAAATGATACTTCGGAAGCATCGCTCGGTTTGCAATCTTGTTGTAGCTCGTGTTAGCAGCCATGGTGCTGTGCAGTAGTTTAGCGTGTAAATCGTTCATCTCGCGATTGACACGT